CGGCGACCAATTTACATGTCGGATTAGTGGAGCAGGTAATCTTGGCGACGAGTTTACCGCCGCCGATTATACATGTATGTCTTATATTCCTATATAATTTTGCCCACAAATGCTTTTGCCAAGTCTTCACAATATATAATTTGAGGTGATTTATTTATACTTTGCACTACTGCAATACCATCTACGATTTGTGAGGCGATTTACCGGATTTCCATCATATTGGCCATTGGTAAGGATTGCATTTTCGACTAAATCCTCAAGCCTTGCCATAATCTTTGACTTATCACTTGGCAGTAAAAGTGTTCCATCTGGAGCAAATAAAGAACGATGCATCACTTAGAGACTTTCATTATTATGGCTTCCCAGGTAACAGTCCGACGTCATTTGACATTATATTACGTTAACAATGTTCTACCTGACTTCGGCATGCGACCGACGTCTGAAGGACTTCCTGATTTTTTGTTTAATATGGGTTCAAAGATACTTATGAAGCTCCTATGTGATGAAAAATTGTGAAAAACACACTTATGAAGGACTAATCTTGCCGATGTTGAATGTAAAATTGAAATTAATCGAAAATAGCAACAATGGCAACCATCGTCGGTCGAACCCAATAATGGCCGAAGCCCCCGAAACAGCTGATGTCGAAAGCGATGAAAATTGCACCAAATTTGCACGAAAACTGACTATGCCCAATGTTTGGTCAGATAATTAATCCCTAGTTTTCACCTGCGGCGACCTTTAGTCGCAATATGTATTCTTTTATACGAAATCTGTTCATAAAAATAATCGCGACATCGAGTCTACCTTTTACGGACGACGGGTAAAGCTTAAAGGCCGAAACTCACTAGCAACACGCCACGTCATGCTTCGCCATACCACGCCATGTGACGAAAATGTATGCGTATATTCTTCCATTTATTTATATGTGCTGCGTACACACTTGCCATACGCGATACCACGCCATGGCACGCCACGCCATCCGTCCATTTGCACACAAACTGTCCCACGTGAACCTGTGTCACATGGCGTAGGGTGGCGTGGCGTGTTGCTAGTGGGTTTCGGCCTTAATTTTATTTATACATTTGTAAATCATGATGCAGAATCAGATTTGACCAGCCATTACCGTCATGAGTTTTGTTCGGAATTTTCCCTGTACCTACTTTTCTCTACCTACCTCTCTATCTTTATCTAAATATATCTCTATCTTTATTTCCTTACCATTATTTTGCTATTACCGAGGTTGTTACCGTTGCGATCTAATACATGTTTGTATATTAGGGAGTGTGGAGGTCAGTGTGCTCTTCCATTCCTCAGAAGTAAATCCTTTTGAAGAATGAGAAGAAAAAAATAAAAACTGAAATTTTGAGTACCGATTTGCGCGCCGTTGCTCCGGGATGAAGTTATCCTAAGTTTTCCCTTATACGAGCTGTGCCAACTTCTGTTTAAGTGATTTCTCTTTTCCCTTGCAGGAAATCAATTGGACAGGCTGCTGACTTCCACTTTATTGACACAGGCTTGGTAGGGGGGAGTGAGAGTCGGGTAGTTTTTTAGGGATTAAGGGTGATTTCAATGGAAAGAGCCATTCTTGAGATAATTGCATTCCTAGGTGTGTTCGTCCGCACACTGATTTCTTTTCTATCCCTTCTTGATTGAGCCTTTTTACGGATAACTTGTATATGGCGGCTGATCCCCGTTGTATATAAGGGATGAAGCGTCTCTCTTACTTCCTCTCGGGAACTCCGCCCAGAACAATATTTAAATTGGCGTTTCATCTTTTCACTGCACAGGGTCTTTCCCTGTATAAAGTTTGTTTCGCCAGGGTTTGTACTTGCCACCAGCATTTGCCTTCCTTGTTTAACAAATAAAAATTGACTGAAACATATCAATGACATCAAAAACGTTTGTCGGTTCTTAAACCAGAAGTCATTCATTTTAATTTGTCAAAAAAATTGAATGTGTCATATGAATTAATCTACGACAACCATTTTTTTTCAAGTTTCAAGGTCAAGTATGAACCCTGGTGAAACGAACCTTAGTTGTTTTTTTTTTGTACCATTTCTCACCCTTCTGAATGTTATGAATGGCAAAATAATGGTAAAATAGTTATTTACATTCCAAGCTGCGAAAGCGTATTTTTAGGTGCGAGGTGTATTCAAATAGCCGAGACGAAGCGAAGCGCAGCCGAGGCTATTTGAATACCTTCGAGCCACTAGCATGTTTCACTTTCGCTTTAGCTCGCCTATGCAAGATAAAAAAATCTACTTTCGTAGGGGGAGAAGGACTCTGTGAAATAAAGGTACGCTAATTTGATTTGAGAATTAATTAATGGTTTTATTGGTTTACCTATGTCAGGATGTGGTTGAGTTACGTGCCTTATTTATTTCCTTTTCCGAGTTAACAATTACCGTCTGGAGATTATTTTTTTTAAGTGTGTTTCTGAATTTTCACCCTTCCATATTTTATGTAGCTAAATATTTGCGCGCCATTGCTCCGGGGTGAAGTTATCTGAAGTTTTCCCTTATACAAGCTGCGCCAACTTCTGATTGAAGAGTGACTCTCTAAACGTTGAGAGAAATCAATTGGACAGGCTGTTGACTACCACCTTATTGACATAGGCGTGGTAGAGAGGAGTTAGAGTCGGGTAGTTTTTTGAGGAATAACGCTGATTTTAATGGAAAGAACCATTCTTGAGATAATTGCATTCCTAGGTGTGTTCGTCTGCACACTGATTTCTTTTCTATTCTCTTGATTGAGCCTTTTTACGGATAGCTTGTATATCGGCTTATCCTCGTTGTATACAAGGGATGAGAGTCTCTCTTACTTCCTCTCGGGAACTTCGCCCAATATTTAAATTGGCGTTTCATCTTTTCACTGCACAGGGTCTTTCCCTGTGTAGTTTTTTTTTTGTACCGTTTCTCTTCCTTCTATATGTCATGAATGGCAAAATAATGAGTAACGTTGCAAGTTCAGTCAAGTTTTTAGAGGACCCTAACGAACTATGAGTTTTTCTCGATTATGTTTTGATTATGACCTACCAATATGACTTCCGTAAGGACGAGTGATACACGTTAGATATCAGACTAAAATACTTAACAACCGCTTTCAACTTTCCTCTTTTCTTCCTTCAATATGTGTCTATCTTTTCTATCCACTTATACCTTACCTAGTTTTTAAGTTTATCAAAAAAAAAAAAATATAAGTACACTTCGTATATTTTTTTTCTTTTTTGAAGGGGAAGTGGGCAGTGTTACATTGCAAATGCTACTTGTTCCTTTTTTCTTTCAAATTTTATTTTATTATACCTTTTATTGTTGACAGTCTGGTGACTAGCATTAAAAAAAGGGTTTCTGCTACTTTTAATATTAGCAATTATTAAATTATCAAACTGGAGGGCACGATTTTCGTTTAAATTTCATGTACCAGTTTAGTACCAACGCTTTCCGTTGACTATTTTTAGGGGAAGCACTGTCTGCTCACCTGATCCGTTTCATTTCTCCCTTTTAAATTTTACCGTTCGAGCTGAAAGGTCGATCCTGGCTGGGGGCAGCCATCTTCCTAAAGTGTGAATACCGTTCTCTTGGAAAAAAGTACCTTATCGGCCATCGGGTATTATCCTAACGAAATAAAGCTCCGTAAGGCAATAATCCATTAATTACAGAAAAGATTTAAATAAAAAGGCTCGTGATTACCGTTTTTTACTGGGGAGCCGTTTTTATCAGGGAGCCGTTTTTAACCGGGGGCCCCTTTTTTTCGAGGATCCGTTTCTCCTAACAAATCTGTTCCTAAAACGCCACATTTTCGTGGAACGTGGCATTGAGCTTTTGAAGGGATTCCTACAGGAATCAAGTCCCACCCGAGTCGATACGTGTACCCCCACATGTTTCGAAGAGAACTGAACTTCTAGCCTTGCTTTCCGGTTGGAATTTGCAACTTCCACTTGAAGCTTCCCTCGTCTAATGGACGAGAATGGATGGCTACCGTGCTCTACCTTTTTGTTGGAATGGAGGCTTGTATAGAGTTTTATTTGTAACCTCCATTATCTTTTTTATGAAATCTTCTATATAATCAATCAGGTACCCTGATTGATTAAATTTTTACTGACATTAACTTCCAATATTTAAAATTTCCTTTTCACTTTCTTGACACTGGAGTGAACTTTGGATAATTATTTCTGACTTTTGATTTATCGAATTTATCATGGGTTTATCTTTGCTTAACTTTTAGTACCGCCATATTTGAATAACGTACTTATATTTTATTAATAATAATCAATCAGTAATCTGAACAGAAGTCAAGGTTGGACAACATGCTCTAAATTTAAAATTATTGAGTTAGAACCTACATCGTCGAAAATTGATCAATTTTTAACCCTGGGTCCTATAACTTATGTATTTGTCGATTTCTAATATATCTCCTGACCATTTAACTGTTCTTCAACCCAACTATCGATTTCATACAGGTACAAATTGATTTTCTTTTCTGACAGCAACTGTTAATGAATTTATATGGCAGAAAGTGTTTTACCAGCATTTGATTTTATATTTTGAAATTATTCAACACTTGATTTTTGACACTGTGAGATATATCTACGCTAATTTAGTTTGAAACTTACTTAATTACCTATGTCAGTATTACGTTGAGTTATGTGCCTTATTTATTTTCTTTTCACAGTTATCAATTATACCATCTGTAGGTTTTTTTTTTTTTTTTTTTGTGTGTTTCTGAATTTTCACCCTTCCATATTTTATGTAATTTAATTTTTTTTTTTTTAATGTAGTGGCGCCCTCGACATTCTGTACTCATTAAACTATCAACTCACCCCTAATAATTATAAGCTGAGCAAACCGAGCATATTATGGGCCTCTTGTTAATTCATTAACAAAAGGGGTTACAATATGCACGAAATAGTAGGTAGGTATAATTTTATCGAAAACGCACTATTTAGTTAAATAAAACACATCGTTTACATTTTCCATCCTTTATTTCATTTTATTAATTTGGCACAAGAAAGAACAATGAATCTATTTTCTATAATAATTCAGATTTCAGAATTTCATATACTTCTGCTAGGTTTTCTTTTAATAATTTTTATAATAATTATTTTGGGAAAATTACAGGTTAGACATACATCGAAAAATCTAAATACCGTTCTCCAATTAAAATCAATATTCTTTTTATAAAATCATTAGTTTATCCTATTCACAATCCGATGTCCACAGGTACAGGTAAATTTATCACCTTTCCCTATCAAATAGCATTGAAAGGTGATAAATTTCACCTGTACCTGTGGACATCGGATTGCGAATGGATAATATAAGGTCAGAAACATAGCGATCTCAAAATAATATACTTATTTCTATGTTATAGAATGATTTTATAAGAAAAGTTAGAATCTTTTTTTGAACAGTACTTGAATTATTTTGGCAACACCCTTTTAAGATCACTAGCCCTATATTTAGCATTACAAGGAATACTTCAAATGCCTACTCATTTATTCGAAAATTCACCACTATCAACAACCCTTGAGGACTTAAATACAATAAAATAGGTACTAAATTTTACATAGATCACCTTAAAAATAAATTATCAGGTATCAAAAAGTCTAATTCATGATTTTTTTCTAACAGAATTTTAAATTAACAACATCTACTTAGATTCAAATTTATTGATAAATTTAAGGATACTTTAAAATGAAATGTTTATAGATGTGTACCTAAATATATTGTTTTATTATGTACCTACTTTGTACAACTTCTTTTAAGTACAATACTTGCTTTATATACAAGAAGATACGTATTTTATTTGAATTGAATTGAAATTAAATGAAAATCGTTTTGAATTTTTTTGCTTTTGATTAGGTAGTTTTTGTTTATGACGAAGAAACTAGACTAGAAACCTTCCTTACACGAACATTCAAATAAAAAATTTCAAGGGAAACAAATTTAAAATTGAATGGTTACATAAATAACATTGTAATTACCTGAGAAAATAATTCTGAAAATGCGACCTCGCAAGTATTTTCTCAAGATTGGTGTACCAAAAATTACCTACATTCGAGAATTTTCACACCACAGTTTCTCCCAAAAAAATCTTGCTAAATACTGTACATTTTGGATAGGTCCCTCATAAAGTTACATTTTTCACAACAAAAGTAGAATATATATATAATAATTTTGGTTCAAGTAATTTGTCAAAAACGTTCCTTCATCAGTAGACCTTAAGAGAGCTGAATCCAAATATAAAATATAAAAGCAAAACCCAAAGAAAAATATTTGCGAAAAAATAATCAAGATGACAAAAATAAATACTAATAAGTTGGCAAGAAATAATTAACTTAAAAATAACGTCTAGGTACACAAGAATCTAGTATAATTAAGAATGTGATGACTATACAAAAATATCAGTTGAAATAAATAGATGAGCTATGTGTACTTAATTTTACTGGCATTATAACTATACTAAAACAAATAAACATTAACAGTGTACATTGCACTTATTGTAATATTGATTTAAAACTCAAAATAATTCCCCCATAGAAGGCCAAAAATGTTATATTTTGTCACCGATTTTTGTATCTATACTTTTTTTGGCCCATTAAATCAAATAAAATACTGCTATAACCACCGGTACAGAAATGAAACAGATCTCTAAAGATCTTCAACTACAATATAAACTTATAGGTACCAAAAAAGAAACAACAACAAAAAAAACTCGCGCAATGTTTGAAGACTAAAAATGATTTCAAAAATTTACAAAAAAAAATATAACATTAAAAACAAATAAATAACTTGTGGCTTTAGGTTAATAACTGACTATGTACATAACAATACAACTGCTACACCAAATATTTATTTACAATATTTCCACAATATAAAGTCTTTTGGCATCTTTTCCTTTTTATTCAATGGCACTCAATTTGCTGCCCTGTTTCAATTTTCGTAGGTAAATAAATTACACCTACAAGTCCCAAACTAATAAACGCATCGCCTTAGAAAATTGAGGCTAAACAGGACTAAAAAAAAAATACTCAAAACCAACCTGGGAAAGTCACTTCCCCATTTGGCCAGGCTCATTCATCGTCATGCCTCGGACTGGGCGAATCGTAACGATCCTGTGAAAAATTTAATGCGTCTGGTGATGGACTGTCTTGACCATATAAAAATCCCCTATCCGAACTAGGTCCCGCTCCATTCATCATATGAGGTGGCGTCATTGAAGGCCTTCCAGATGTAGAGGTCGCTGGGGACGTTAACTCGGAAGATGATATAAAGTTCATGTCAGAACCGTCTCGGCACCAGAGCTGACGCATTTCCTGGCGACGTTGCCTCATTAACATTTTGTACTCTGATATGCGCATTTTTTTACCGTCCACTATGCAAGTCCGTTTTGGTCTTGGTCGATATCTGAAACAGAAAATGAAATTGAATTTTCCAAAATCAATTTTTTCGATAATTGTAAGCTAAAACCTATTCTTATTGTTGAAATTATTTATATAGGTACATTTAAACAGATACCGCTTTTCATGGTCTTCTGGATTTAATATTCAAATAGTCGGAGAGAAAAACATATTGTCACGACTCTGAGGTGCGTGACAGAAATCTTGGGTCCGTTTAGAACGTTTATTCCAAAATCAAAGTCTAATTAAGAAAACAATAATTTATTCCACGTTACTATACACTCTGACACTAATTACTTCACTAATTAACTCAAACAACTTAACTCTTTACAACTCCTAACAATAATCACTATCTAAATCATCACAGTCAATCTTAAACTTAAAACTTACTAACTAATATTTGCCCTTATAAATCCGTAATCTATTCTTGTGAAATCCAGAATAAACGCAATTATCTCTTTGCCCGAATAAGGCAGTATTTTCTAGATTTCAAGTTAGATTTTGTACACCATGGCAAAAGCGCACCGCGACACTGCCCTCCTGTTCAGGTTGATCGTCCCGATCAACTTCACGCCCATGATATTTCGTGAAGCTGTTCAGATGTAAAACTTTCATCTTACTCCTGGTGTTGCGCTGAACTCGATAAGCCAAATCATTGATCCTCGTGACTATTTTGTAGTGTCCTTCCCATGCTGAAGACAATTTCGGCGATACTCTTTTCTTTCTTGTTGGATTAGACAGCCGCACTAGATCACCTACTACTTGAAATCCGGCTGAATTGGCTTTCAAGTCGTATAATCTGGTCTTCATTCGATCACTGGCCAGCTGGATATGCTCCCGAGCAAAATCATGTATCCTCAGAAGTCGTGCCGTTACCTCGTCGGCATAATCTCGAATTTATTTTCGTGCTTCTTCAGGTATTCCAAACATCAGATTGCAAGGTAACGAGTTCCCTTCCAAAAATGATTCTAGCTGGACTTTCACCTGTTGACTCGTGAACAGCTCTGTAAGCCCTTAAAAGTAGGGGCAAGTGGTTGTCCCAATCTCGCTGGTTCTTTGCGACCACTTCTGTCAGGTGTTCCTCTATGGTCTTATTAAATCGTTCTACCATGCCATCCGACTGTGGATGTAAAGGTGCTGTCCTTGTCTTACGAATACCCATGATCTTACCAATTTTCCTAAAGATGGCATGACGACTGAAAACTTCGTCGACTAGCACCTGGGCAATAGTGATTGGGAATAGCGAAAACTTATGGCCATTTACTGAAGTAATCCACGATAACCAAGATGTATTAGTTACCACGCTCTGACTCAGGGAATGGTCCGGCAGCACCTATCACTATTCAAATGGGAGACCGACGTTGTACTGTTTCAAAGGCCCCCGAGATCTTGGTTTAGGCCTTTACTTGTACCACAGATGTCGCATTTTCGACACCAGTTTTTAACGTCTTCATGATAGCGAACCCAGTAAAAACGTTCTCGAATTTTGTCTAAAGTCTTGTTAACTGCCCCTGAAGTTCCGTCATGTATTTCTTCTACTACAACTTCTGCTCGATCTATTAGAATAACCAGTTGGCTCTAAGTAGATTTTCCATCGGCACTTTTCCAAATTCTTTTAAGTAAACCATTTTCTACGACCAGAGAGTTCCACTGAGCCCACGCGCCTTGTATATCAAACTCTTGTTCGACACTTCCCGCCATTCTGGCCTATAATCATCATTTTCTTCAAGATGTAGAAATTGCCCGATGTCCTGGACTGCTTCTTGATCTGCTCGCATTTGTTTGGTAGTCCATTCGTCATCAACAATCAGACCTGTTCTTCTCACAGCCGGACCAGTGTTTTTTTCATGCATATCGATTCTTTGACAATGCTTGCATGGCCGTCTAGACAGCACGTCAGCATTTTTATGCAGGTTCCCAGGTCGAATTTTGAATTTGAAAATCGTATTGCTGCAATTTCTCAATTCATCTAGCAAGCTGTCCTTCGGAAGTTTTCATTTCTAAAAGCCATTTTAGAGCCGCGTGATCTGTTCGAATTAGAAACTTGCATCCGTAGAAATACTTATGGAAATGGTCGACTGCTTTTACTATGGCAAGCAACTCTCTTCTGGTGACACAATAATTTCGTTCTGGCTTTGATATGGTTCTGCTGTAGTACTCTACGACATGCTCTTGTGAATATTTTGAATTTGTGAAACTACTGCTCCAATACTAGTGTTGCTTGCATCTGTGTTCAAAATCAACATGCCCTTCTGATCGGGATAGGGCAACACCTTTTAATTTTCTAAATGAGGAATCGCATTCTTGGGCCCAATTGAATGTTGATTTTTCTTCCGTTAATCGATGAAACGGAGCAGCTATATTGGCGAATCCTTTCACACATCTTCGATAATAAGAACATAATCCTACAAAACTCCTTCTTTCATGTTTGTCGCGTAGTTTGGGCCAATCCCTGACAGCATCTTACTTTTCTTCCATAACCTGTATACCATCTTCAGTTACCACGTGATCTAAGAATTCCACTTTCTTTTGAAAAAGGAAAGACTTATTTGGATTGAGTTTTAGATTGCCATTCTGGAAGCAGTCAATATTTTCTTTCAGGTTATTGAGATGTTCTTAGAACGAATTTCCCATGATCATGACATCATCTAAATATACCAGACAAGTTTTGCATCTAAGGCCTCGCAAAACCAGATATATCAGTTGCTGAAACGTGGCGGGCGCATCACAGAATCTGAAAGGCATTACGTTAAACCGGTATAACCCGCTTCCGGTACTGAAGGCAGTTTTCTCTTTGTCATATTTGTGTATTTTCACTTGCCAGTATCCACTTTTGGGATCCAAGGTGAAAAACCATTTGGAGCCCGATAGAGTTGGTAATTATCGTCTATCCTCGGGAGAGGGAAGCTGTCCTTCTTGGTGACGTCATTAAGCTTACGAAAGTCCACACAAAATCTAAGACTTCTATCCTTCTTCGTAACCAATAGGTACTACTGGCGCAGACCATAAACTATTTGACTCTTCAATAATTCTCTCTTGAAGCATTTTATCAATTTGGTTTTCCACTTCCTGTTCTTTAGCTACTGGCATACGTTGAGGTGGTTATCTAATTGGGTGTACCAATCTAGTATCAATTTTGTGTTGAATTAAACTGGTCCGTCCGGTTTGATTATCATCACAAATACGTGCGCTTCTTTCAAGATGAAATCTGTGGCTTCTTGAAGTCTATCTGGATCGATGTGTTTCCATGATTTCTCCAAAGTCTTCATGAAGGTGTCTGTATCCAATTTCGATTTTTCAAAATGTCGCTTATCTGGTGGGTCATAGTTCGATATTTGCGTAACTGGTTCGAGAGTTCCAATAATATCTCCTCCCTTGATTTTTACTGTTTCAGAAGAAACATTGGCAATTCTCATCATGTTTCCATTTGTTCTTACTAGAGTCTTTCCAACGAGAAATTTTTCTGGTTTATCTCCAATAAAAAATTATGTGTTAGTCCAACGCAGCACCCACGGTTCGTTCCCAAGTCTCCGCAATTGATCTTGTCAGTACTTCCAGGAATCCTCACTGGGTTTGTGGCCAGGATCTTAACGGCTTAGGATTCTTCTTATGTAGTAAGGACAAATTCTTCATTACCCAATTTAAGGATGTTCATAGAAGGTCTATTATATATCTGTAATCCATTCTTGTAAAATCCAGAATAAACGCGATTATCTCTTTGCCTGAATAAGGCAATATTTTCTAGATTTCATAAACAGATTTGATAAACAGGTAATTGCAGTCAAGTCATTTGTTTATGCCATAAATGGCCTTATGACCACAAGTGTACTATAGCCCGCCGCATGTACTGTAAAGCGTCCCGCCCTGTACTGTAACGTGCCAAAATCGCCTTTAACTATTTCACACTAATTTTCAGTTTTCCATTCAAAATTCCGATAGAAATTTAATTTTTTCCTGATTTTATTAGGATTTGTTTAAATTTTTCCTTTATAAAAATTCAACAATAATTACAGATTCTACAAATTTTCTAATCTTTATTATTTAAATTCTATTTCCACTTGTGAGTAGTTCTTGTTGACGACTAATGATTTTCCTCGATTTTAATCAATATTTTATATCCGTTTTCCAGTAGTAAATCTACATGTAAACAAATCAAATATTTCTTATTGTTTGGTAAGGGTTTCCAAATAGTGTGTATTGCATGCTGCACGTACTCTGTTCGGTTACTGAAGTCAGTACCAGATTTAGTTCCAAAATCCGCAGGCCTATTCTCTACGAACAGCAATTACATAGCAACCAGCAACCGGTTGCAAGTTGCTTTTTTTGAATGGAAAATTCGCGTTTGACAGCCATTTGACAGCGACAATTGCGCAATTCTGTGCGGTCGCATGTTACAGAATAAAGGCTGCCGGTTTCATAAACCACCGGGTTGCTCTCCATTTTATAGTGACACTTAAATCATGTCATAGACTAATATATATAGGGGTTAAATAGACTGGACTCTCCAATGTTAACATATCATGTCGTATTTTAGCGCCCTCTGCCGTCTGAGAGTGAACTAAAAAGACTAGTTCGGTCATTCTCCGAAAGATGGCACTTTGTTATTGATAGTTCACTGTAATTATTACAGTAACTCGACAACTCTCTTCCAACAGTGGCGACAATGGAGGTCCCGCCACCATATTCTTTCAAATTTTTGATATGAATAGGATATAAATGAATATTCCCTCGGATATCCATATCTATCATAAAAATTTAAAAATAATGTGTTCAAATTTTAGTCAGAGAAATACCTTACCTTCAAATTTTGATGATAGATATTCATTTATATCCAATAATTCTTATGTATTCATATTTGAAATTTCAAAAATATGGCGGCGGGGCCTCTATTCATCGTCGCCACTGTTCGCAGAAGTTTGTCGAGTGCCTAGTTTTTCACAAGAATAAACACAATCAAAAGACAATGTAAATTTAAATTTTGAAATGTCGAATGAACGAAAAGTCCAAATGACGATGACATTTCCAATGAAGGATTCGGTATTTGTTTCATTTTCACTTTCATAACCTCAGTTTTATAAGACCAGCAGTGCCATCAGCGGTCACGAGTGAACTAAAAAAGCTGACTCAAAGCGGTAATAGGAGTGCGCGGACCATGAATCATGTCACTCATATTTTGTGTGCCAGCTGACGGCAGAAATGTCGTTCATTTTTGTCAATTGGCCTTTCAATTAAGTAATGTTTTGGGATCATCGAGTTCTTTGTAAGCGTTTACGTTTTGCAGGAATTGCTTAGTCAAATTATGATTGTTCTAGTGGTTAATCACTTGTTGTTGTTATCATTAGTCGACAGCTGTTGTTCTCAGACAAATGGTTATGTGTAATTTTTGGTACCTACTTAGAAATCTTCTTGATTTCTTTTTGACATTTGTCGTTACTTTGCCTCATCTCTATTTTTCAAATCTAGGACAGCTAATTAATTGGCGATTTTAAAAATCAATGCAGCACCTGGCGGAAATATTTGATACTAACTTAAAGAGTTATAAGATCGTTTGTTTACATATCGTATTGGAATATTTTCTTGCTTTTTCGATGTTTTCTGTTCGTTCCTAATTTGAATTACGTGTTTTGTGTCGAAAAGTGGGAAATAATAAAGACTTCTATTGTGATTCTGTGAGGTGCTATTATTACAGGAATTCAATGGCATCTGTCTCCAAGTCCAAGCGGTCCAAGCATAACACAAACTGCTTTGTATACGAATGCCATTCCCGGAAAGGTGCAGACAGAACTATTCATTTTCATTATTTTTCTAAGAAAAATAGTGATAGTGCTTTCTACGCCACCCTGGAGGTAGGATGAAACTGTGGCCAAACTCAAAAACAGGCCTCCATTTTCCATATTTTGTGTTGTATGGATACGAAATGCACAAAAGAAAGTCACAACGTTCAAAATTTATAAAATATAGTAAAAAAACACCGAAAAAACTACGAGAACAACGAGAAAATAAGCGAAAGAAATACGAATGCATCTAAATACAATGCTGAACGTCAAAATATTACTCGTTCTCGCCATATTTGTTTACAAACGCCAGCGCACCCATCGGTAGTCGAAATCGCCAATTCCCTGTGGTGCTTCTTTCTTTCACGTTTGGTGGTTCCGGGAAAAAAGTCTTTCTGAAGAAGTTAAATTTTGTCTTTGCCTTTGAGGGATTTTGACCTTAATATTCTCGATTATTGAATTTATGGTACATTGAGTTGCCTTACGTTGCGTTACGCTTTCGTGAAGTGTCATGATTTCACCGATGATTTCGGATTTTTACAACCATTCATTCGGTAAGTTTTGATTTGCACGTTTTTCCCCCAGTGGATTCTGACCTTCTCTATTTAATCATTAGTGAAAAGCTGCCTTATGGAGTAGAGTAAAGACCACCTCTCACTCCAGGATTTCGAATCCAGATCCCGATCCAGATTAATCCAGAGTATTTTCGAGGCAAATAAGACCCATTCCAACCTAATAACGACAGATTTTCTTTGCAAATTTGAACCACATTTTCTTTTCTTTTAAATCTATCTAATTCTGATTTTTATACACAAATTATTTTAATATTTTACAAGAGCTATAGTTTTACCTAGTAAATTAACTATCAATGGTTGACTAAGTTACATCAAAGTTACATTAATTTTTTTGTAGTTCATTTCAAAGTTCCTGGCCTTTGCTAAAGTTGAGTTACAAATACAAAGTGCTTATAACAGTTTTTCTTTAGGGTTTCTACTTACGGCCACAAATTTAAGTATACGGCCAGCCCTTTTCAACTAAAGGCTACACTTTCAAGTGTACGGAGACCTCCATCGGAGCTTACAGAGTTGTGAGGCTACCTCTACCAGAGACTACACCTTTTTGGACAGTTATACCTTTGTTTTGGTACTGTTGAACCTTACGACTGGTTTGACCATACCAGCTACAACCTGTAACTAGGACCAACCAGGTTAATTGAACCTGCTGCCATCACTTGGAACATATTGGTATCGTACTAGTTGTTTAAGTATTCTTTGCTGTCATTTTATATAACTAATTTTAATTTTACACATTTTGCCCCTATTTTGTGCGCCAAAGTGATCACCACGGTACGTAAGGGTGAAATTCAGTAGGTACCTTGGTACCTACTTGTACCAAGTGAAAAGTTAAACAACTATTAGGTACATTTATTTTAGCTAGGCGTAACCTGTTTCATGTGGATGATTAATTTTATCTATTTAGCTTTGGTCACATCATTGTATTAAGGTTTGTGACTGGTAGCTGTTCCAATAAAAACTCTCCGAATTGTTTAATTCTGAACGAGGGCTCAATTTGCACGGACTTTGACCTTCAGTCCTACAATCTTGATTTTTTTTTGTTTTTTTTTTCCACTTTAGATTGTTTAACACAGAAAAAGCGTGGCAGTACATAAACAAACACAACTTCTCACTCCTCCAAATTGTGGTCTTTGTCTAGTCAACAGACTATCAACTATTTCTCAATCCTTTTAGTAAGTTTGCTTCCTCTCCCTCTTGAGGCATCGCCCTTTATCTTTTGTGCGGCGGACTATACCTTATTGTTACTTTTGCTTCAGACGCAAACCTGAGTTTTTCCTCTTCGCTTCTGCTGGCAACGCTGAAGAAACCTAATAGGTCGGATTGAGAAATACGTCAACGAATAGAATAGCGAAAAATAGAAAGTGTCATTACTCTAATGAGAATAATATCGATGCGATCAGTAGGTATTACGATTCGTAATCGATATCCACAGAAGTCCTTCTTACCTATAATCTGGATGCTTCTCCATGTGCAACTTGGACAATCTCGATTGTTCCTCATAGTAAGGTTGTTTTTCTGAATTAGACATGGACTTCCATCGAGCTCCTAGAATTTTCGAAATATTCGAATTGTGCATGTCCGGACAGGCTTTCAAAATTTTCCGTCTTTCATCTTTGGCCCACACCATAAACGCGTTCATCGGCCTCTTAATGTGCGGTTTGTTTTCGCTATCACGTTTACTAGCTTGCTGGCGGATAATTTTGGCTTTGTCCGAATTTTCGTCCAGCTTGAAATTCTGTTCGGGCGCTCCCCATACTGAAATAAATAAAATAAAATTACTATAGGATTTATTGAAATTGAGCTAACTTTATAACGAGGTTGCGAAGATAAAATTTAAAATCATGTTAATTAATAAAATTACTTGTTCAAGCGTTCTCATTGAAATATTTCCTTGACTAAAATCACCATTTTATTTCTCGAAAAAACATATAAAAGTCAAGACTCATCCAATTAAAGAACATTGTTCCTGTTAAAAGCGTGTTACATTATTCGGACAGATGTCGAAAAGTAGCAATATTTCGTTGCAGTACACGACACGTCGATTCCCATAAAGTAAAACGGTCGGTATTTTACACGAAAATACAATTTGTCTTTCAGGAATTTTCAGGGTTCGACCATATTTACAAACTGCAAGCGACATTGTCTTTGATCTACATTTTTCTTACAATAATACCCTATAATTCATACTGGGGAATCGTTAAAATGCAAGTATTTTGAATGGCTGCCAAAGCCATATCGTTAAACAGTTTTTATACTGTTTCGATAATACATAATAATTTTTGGTTTAGCTGGATGGATTGCTGTTAAATGAGTCACATACAAGCAATGCAAAATTAATTTGGCTCAACTATTATAAAATAAATAATGTTAAATAGAAAACAGAAATTTACTTACATTGACACGCAGTTATGAAGTCAGTCTCTTCCTTAATGCCCTCAACATCTTTAGACCTTCCACCCATATTAGGCGGTCCAGGCATAGCATACATATGCATCGGAAAATGAGGCTGTTTTTCCATACCTTGCCTATCATTTCCTTTATTCCTATTGTCCACTCCGGGAGGCACAGGAAACGTGGGTGGCAACTTGGCGTAGGGCAAAAATGGCATATTCGACATCATCAAATTGGGTGGCAAAAGACGTGGAACTGTCGCTGCTACTGGCTGATCATTTAAGCTTTGGTGGTGTTGAGAAGGAGTACTTTGGGGACTCGTCTCGCTGGACCCTAGGAGCATGGATTTGGGTTTGGAAAGATTTAAGGGTGCGTCAGGATCTGAAGGTGTGTGGGCTGGAGCTGGAGGAGAATGAGGTTGTGGAGTGCGTCGGTCTGAACAATTATTTAGTTGTTGAGAGTTGATTTGTTGCTGTTGCTGTTGATGGTGATGATGTTGAATTTGAGCAAGATGTGCTGATGTAGCAGCTGAGATCCAGTTAGGTACTTGATGAGGAGGAAGCATCTACAAAGGTCTTAGTTAAAAAAATATCCCGGTACATACTGGAAGGAGGATTGCTTACATGATTTGACAAGGGACTTTTTGCAACAACTGGGGGGGCATTCGGTGTATGCAATCCTCTAGAGAGCTGTTCGAGGAAGGGTAGAAACATCAACCCCTGAGGACCAACAGCTCCGCTTCCAGAGTATTGGGCTGAGATCTGACCCTGGATTTCTTGGAGCTTTTGTTGCTGATGCAGCAATTGTTCATGTTGCTGTCTTCTTTGGATTTCGAGCTGTTTGTGAGTGTCGTTAAGGAGTGGTGGAGTACTGGCAGGCTGAAATAAAATAATTTTCGACTCAAACAAACTATTTTTAGAATCATTTATTTATTGCAATTAATTGTTGAATAGTTATTGATTTTTATTAGACTTTGCTTTTTAACCACTTAAGTTATAATTATTTTCTTCAAATAATTGACAATTAAATTTTATTTTTTGAATAATTATATGAAAAATGGGATTTGTTTCAGAGTAATAATTGCTCACGAGGAAAAACAATATAATTAGAGCGTCAATAGTCACGTGTAATGACTATGGGATATTAATGAGGAAAAACATAACTTTGAGGTAATTAATTTAGTGGGTAGGTACCACATGGAAAAGTTGAAAATTTAATTTTGACTATTTGATACGGTCCAGTCATATGATGTGCATTATTCTAAGAACTTATCGTAAAGCAGATGCGAATAATAAAATCAGGCATATGGTATGCAACATCAAAGCATTAAAATGAATAGTGTGGTAATTTTATTTTCCTGTTAGTCATCAACAATAAAATTTCAACAAATTGTCAACCAGAGTTATTCCTATAGGTGAGGATATTAAAGAAAACGATAAGCATCCGTTGCCCCGCCCTAACACTTCAAAAATATTCAAAAGCCACTTAAGTGACGCGTTAAAATCCGCATTTAGCCATACCCAAGAACACTTAAGATCTTACAAATGAACCATTGCTTTACTTACATTTCCCGAAATCACAAAAGCATGTCTAAATTTACGTCTGTCAGCGCGCCGCCATCATTTTTATGGCAAATAAACGTCTTTACGGCCGTACAAACGGGATTTGTCGCTTGTTAGCTCACTATTGACCGCAAATAATGGCTTTTGTAGCTCTGACGAAAATAGATTACAACAATTTAATTATTTTTTTGTGAGAAGTTCATTATAGAAAATCAATTAGTTGTAAGTATAGTTATTGTGGATATTTTCTGTCTCTAGACAAAGACATGCGTTTCTGTCGCTACAGAATTAAAAACGTCTCTTCTTATAAACTAGAAACACTTATCTAACAAAGCTCCAAAGGCCGTTTTGAGACCAAACCACTAGAAAAAGCAGTTGCTGTCGAGATGATCGACCTCCTGGTGCAGATTTAACACTGGCCATTCTTGTTCTTCGCGGGGCGAGTAATTAGCTGCGCGCAGGAAGTGATATATCATGTAGTAATAATGACCGAGACCAGAATGTCTCGTTCTCTTTTATTAGATTGCTCGTTTTGCTCACCACAAGCTGGAAATCTTGCCAAATTGTCTCTCTATAAATGATATCCGGTTTATGGTCTAGGGTTCTTAGCCAAGAAATTTTTGCCTGAAATGCAGTATCTTTTTGAATTTTCCAATATGCATCGATAGAAGCAATAATTTTATACTTCTTATTTCCAAAACCCACTACATAAATAAACACCTTTGCATGTCCAAGAACAATATCTGCAAAATCCTTTTGTATGTTCAGTTATAAATGCATAATTTCAAAGCACACTACGCCTGTGGTGTGCAGCTGGAACCTACACGTAATAAAATTATTTATTTTTGTCATTTTGCAGTTATTATTAGAAAGGACTCTACATTGTTACGTTAATCTTTAATGAAAATTAATTGAATAGGTATAATAGCGAATCGTTTCTAATGAGAATAAGCAACTAAAAATAAAACTCATTAAAATAGATTTGGGTAACTAATTTGTGTACGATTTCGTACTTATTTTGTTTTTATTATTTCTATTGTGGTTCCCAAAACATCTATTTGTATTCCATTTTTCTAAACCAAACTTTTTTTTATTTTTTCTTCACCTTTATATACATATATTATTATTTAATAATTCTTGACACATTATTCGCTCATTTCTCTTTCTCTCCAGATGCTCACGCGATCTAAGAATTAAATATAGCTTCCCTAAAGAAGTTGGAAGTGCATTGAAGGTGCAATGAATGGAAGATAAAATTGGACCCGTGCCGGCGCGCGTATATTTAGGTGCCGTGGGCGAGTTGGCAACCTGCGAATATTTTCACTTGGAAAAAAGGAAGAAGAAGAATGTAACAGATGAACAATTCTTAAGCGACTTCTCGTGCTGAACAACACCAGGGCCTGAAACCTAACTGTGTCCTGTGTCTATTTATACGATGGTTAGTTTTGTTTAGTGATGATGATGATGATGATGATGGGAATCATTGGCGGAACATTTAAGTCTTAGAGGAATTTCGTGTTGTTGCTTTGTATCGAATATTTTCCTAACAAAACTAATCAGTCATCACGTAAGTACTCGAATCTCTGGTAAGCCACTTAACAAAAAGCCACTCACAAAGAAAATCGCACACTACTAAATAACAGACGAGAATCTTAAAAGCACATTTTCTAAAATTCTGTGTAAGCACATCAAAAGTGTTAAAGTCCGCTGTCAAACATGTGGCTTTTTTTTGGGGGATCGACGCTGAAAGCTCCGTTTTTTATGCGGTCGCCTTTATCTGAAGGACTGAAAAGGCTCACAAAAGAATGTGTGGCCTGTTAAATATTTTATCAGGGGATTTGAACTACACCTACTTTGTCGCCCCGATGAAAATATAGATTTTTGAAAATGAAGGTCAATTTTCCAGTTAGCACTATCTATTTGCTTGCTATAACGTCCCGATGTAATCCCTGAAAATCTTATATATCTGCACAAAAAGGAGGAAATAATATGTGACAAGGAAAATAAGCTTCATGGGGCGATTCCTGGGGGATTTGTCACGTCAGGATACAATAATACAGCGAGAGTATAATGCTGTGGCCTGGAATGACGTCCGAGGGATTACCGGCCCAGTGTGAGTAGTTGTATAGAGGAAGGTTTTGACCATATACTTACTTATTAATTTATTTTTATTATAAAAAAAATCATCTCAATTTTTTACTAATCTGTATACACATTGTGATATCCCCTGTATATTGTATAATTTCTTTTTTCTTTAGATACCAGTACTATCAATGTAGATTAGAGTTGTCATTAATATAATAAAAATCATATCACAATTTACTTATCAAATATAATAAATAGTTATAACAAATTGGCGACGAGGATAAAATTTCGTATTCTCTAGGACAAGCAAGCTAACTTTCATCCATCAACGAATAGGACAATAATTATCGACGAAACAATACCAATCTTTTTTTCGAAAAACAAAACAAAAAATGGATCAAAAGCAATTTCAAGAATTTTTAGATACAATGATGAAAAGTCAGCAAGTTCTTATTGATCAACTACGGCAACCTTCAACAGGTAATCATAATTCTACTGCTTTCGTGCTTCCATTTGAAAATTTCAATCCTCAAAGAGAAGATTTTTGTACATACAAAGATCGATTTGAAAACTATCTCAAAATGAAAACGTCTTACACTAGATTAAGAATTTGTTTCACCTTATACATGTCAATTAAATATATCAGAAATTTTTCTAAGAGCACAGTTCATCAGAGGCATTCAAGATTTATCAATTCGTGAACAATTACTCCAATCAGATGTGAAACCTTTCAAAAAGTTGGTAGAAAAAGCTATAGCTCTAGAATCTTCCAAATCAGGCAGCAAAGAATTATTATCCAGTAACATTTATTCAAGCACAAACTTGATAAATCATTCTTCAAGATACCAACATCAATGTCGATCAAAATCTCAGGAAAGAATTAGTTCAAAATCAATACGAAAAATTACCCATCAAGAATTGGGACTTGAGAATCATTGCGTACGTTGCGGAAAAGACAACCATTTAGCTGGAAATTGTAGAACCGACCAAAAAAAAAAGCAAACAAGATATGAAAATTTGGCCCATCGCAAAAAAAAGTTTGGATTACTATACACTATCAAGTAGAACTAGATGATGGCTATTCTCTTAAAAGACGTATAGATCCATTACAAACTACATTGGTGCCCAATAAGATAGTTACCTTTTCAAGTGAGACTCGTCAGATAATACAGGATGAACTACCTCAACTCAAAATTATTATCAGTTATATTTTCCAGTTGTTCAACAACCAGAAATTGAATAAAATCACCATCTAATCCAGGATAATCATGGTCTAATAAATTTCGAAGAAAACGAAATAATTCATAAACCGCCAGAACGAATGCAGAATTCGGAATTCAACAGTTGAGCAGGGATGTTTCAAGGTGCACAATTGTGCATATTATGCACAATCTGATCTCAATATGCACCATATGCACAATCTTCATAAAATACGCACAATCCAGCCAAAACAAAATTATTTTATTTCAGCAAACCTTTGGCAACCTCGCCTGGCGTTGGTTGTGGTTACTGACATCTGTTATTTTGTAAGCTAAGCTCTAGACTTGTAATTAGGAAAAGAGAGCCCAAGGATGATAAAAGCTTTGTTTTGGTTCGAAATTTGGAACGGTTCTGGGATTGCGCAGAACTGCTTGCGCACATGAAATAATAGAGGACTGTTCTAATACTAGTTCTGGGTCGGTATTCTGGTTCTCAAAAACGCTCACCGCTTTCTAGTCGCTCGGCACTTTAAATGCAAATTTACATTGAAAGTGCCGAGCGACTGAAAAGCGGTGAGCGTTTTCGAGAACGAGAATACCGGCCCTGAACCGATTCGGAACCAAAAAAACCAAAACACACCGCAAATCACAAAATTATAAAACAGTTCCTCCTTCAGAGCAAACTAAGAGAACCTTTCTAGAACAATCCCAAAATTGTTCTTAAATAGTTCTAGATAAACCAAGATAGTGTCAACACAGTTCGATTACGATTCTGAAAAAACGAAAACGCATTTCATAATATGCGCATGTGCAGGATGATTCCGAACTAGTTCTGAGTGAAACCAAAACAAAGCTACACACTACTACTACAGGATGGCCTATCCTCATAAGGCCTGTGTGTAACAAATCCCCCCTTTCCCCTCAGGCCAAATACCAGTTGTGACGTAGGCAGCATGTTATTTCTCGCCTTGACGTAAGCTGTCTAAGCAGCTGATGACTTAGTTATGACGGCGGAAATGATACCACACCAAT